AGAGAGAGAGAGAGAGAGAGAGAGAGAGAGAGAGAGAGAGAGAGAAAGAGAGCGAGGGAGCAAGAGAGGGAGAAACCCAAGAGTGGAGAGGAAACCCGAGCGTGATACTGAGGTGGACGATTTCATTCGTCGCGCCGTCCAATGTAACATGCCGTGAAGCTCGCCCTTGTAGAGTCACCTTGAAGCTCGCCGTTGTAGAGTCACCTTGAACTAACCTTTTCCCGTCATCTATGGGAGGAGAGGGAGGATCATATCCGACCTCAAGACCCCGAAGCTTTATTTTTGTTATTGCCTGTCCGAGTGTCCTTCAACCAGTCGGATGTAAGGGACGCTGGACCCGGATTCCAGCAGGTGCAGCTCCCCACCAATGGAACGGATTAATCTAAGGGAGGATCCTCAGACAGGGAGATACTNGATGTAAGGGACGCTGGACCCGGATTCCAGCAGGTGCAGCTCCCCACCAATGGAACGGATTAATCTAAGGGAGGATCCTCAGACAGGGAGATACTCTTATCACTTCCTGGCTAAGGACCGACCACCCAGATTTTCAAAAAAAAAAAAAAGAAAAAAAGAGGCTCGGAGGCACTGGTGGTTGAGAGGGGGACAGCCGTTCATAATACAGCTGATCAGCCCAAGGTGATGGAGAGTCTCTATTACTGGTGCGATTAGCATTCAGGATTGGAAGTCAGGTTTCCTTCTCGTCAGTTCACTGACATAACAATCAGGCACATTGGCAGGATCTGCACCCCCTCTGACCAGTTCTTTTTTTTTTTTTTTTTTTTTTTATAGCCCAAATTGCACCATCTTACCAGTTCGGACGAGGTAGCGTTATCTAGACAGAAGAAGAGAAAAAATAGAACCTATGCAGACCACACCTACTACCGTCTTCACCCGAATAGAACACCCAGTAATTATCGCTGCATCTGGACTGAAAGTTGTGCCAAATGCAGCTATAATGACCGGGCGTTCTATTCGGGTAATTATCGCTGCATCTGGACTGAAAGTTGTGCCAAATGCAGCTATAATGACCAGGCGTTCTATTCCGGTGAGGACGGTAGCGCATTGATTTCTCACACCACTCCCTCGGATTCAGAAAACAATTCTTGAAAACAAAATACCTGGGCGCTCTCCGCAGTAGGAGGGCAGTAGAATGAGGTGAGAGAGGTTCGGTAGGAGTGCCGCAGTTACTGAGGAGTGCAAACTCCCCCGCTCCGTTTTTTTTAGTAGCGGGAAGTCTTACCAGGGGGACGTATTGTTTTTCTGTTTGGACGTATCTCAGAGTCCTGGGGCTTGGTTCCCTGCGGGGTGCAGTCCCACCCCGTAAGCGAAACTGGGTAATGCTCCCAGCCATCCGGGTAGACTGTGAGGACCCCGGCCTGAAAGACATTTATTGGAAATATAAGCCTTGGGCACTGTGACCGTGTTTTTAAGAGAAAAAAAAAATAATAATAATAAAAATTCACATGTGCACAACTAACGGCCTCCTCACACCACTCCCGCGGCCAAACTTTTTTTTTTTTTTTTTTCCTTCAGTTGGTAAGGCACACAAGTGGCATTCAGGAGGTCGTGGGTTCAATCCCCATTGGCCTCATGTACCTTCCTGGGCATGCTTGGCACCCGCCACCTAGAGATATTCCACTGGATCCCGCGATCGGCAATGAGCAGAGTCTGCTGAGGAGGCACAGGGATTGGTGATGCTGGCATGGTCCCTGATGCTACGGGCTGTCCCCTACATGTAGCCGGTATCGCCCACCTGCAGGTCGGGAGCAGGCCCCGCATGTTCTCTCGTGAACACGGTTCGGATACCCCGTATGCCTACAATGTCTGCACTCATCAGCCCCCCTAGCAACGAGGTCCCACTTGCGCAAATTAGGAGATTTCGGCCGTTGATTTTTGCTATCTACGGTCAATATCGCTTAATTCGCGTAAGTGGGACCTCGCCCTACAGTTCAAGAGTGCCCTACCCCACACTACAGTAGGCTCTCCCTAACTGGTCACTTCTGAATTCCGAGAGGACAAAAAAACAAATTCCGAAGACGACCAAAAAATAATAATAATAGTAATATTAATAAAGTTCCGAGAGGACACCGTTTTTTTTCCCCCAAGAAGAGCAGTCTGACAAAGGCCACTGTTCTTTCCCCCACCAAGTGCAGTCTGACATTTAAAAAAAAAAAAAAAAAAAAAAAAACAAGTGCAGTCTGACATGAAAACCCTGTCCGGACCGGCACCAAAAGGAGGCTCGTGAGTACTGTCCAGCCTGCTTCTCTGACTGCTCTGACAGCTCTCAAACTCAATTTTGGGAGCTGAATCTGACGCCATATGTGGCTATGTGCTTGTGCTCTTGAGAACACCGAAATGGTGGTGTGCCTACGCCCTAAAGATAGCCCGAGAGTCCCTTTCTCGGCCTGTCGGCTAAGATCAACTTTAGTATCTGTTCTGATCAGTTCAATATCTTCTTCTTTTTTTTTTTTTTAATCAGTTCAATATCTGATCCGTGGTCCATCGGGCCACGGTAAGAAAGGTAAAAAAAAAAAGAAAAAAAAAAAGATAACCCTAGACGATAAATCCGCATCTGTCCGAGAATCCTCGTTCTGTCACAACAAAGATCAAAGACCTCCGCCGACATGCTTGTACTACTGGGCCCTCCTCCCATTAACAAAGAGGGTGAGATTAAATTCGGGAACGTGGATGTGAGATTGGCACACAGATGCAGAAAAGCTGATATATCTCAATTTTCCGAATCTCGCCACAAACATGTCCCGCTTCAGGAATTAAATCCAATCCTCTTTGCAAATGGGACCAGGCATCTGAAAACTCCGATTTCGGGGCCGTGGTCCCATTAGTAAGAGAACATCGGATTGAATGCCTGAATCTGGACGTGTTCACAGGAGCAGGAAATCGAGATGGAACTGCTTTTCTGTATCTTTGCATACAACATGGCCAGATTCAGGATTTCTATTCGATCCTCTTTGCTAGTGGGACCACGCCCCGGGAGTGCTGAGTCGAGGCCCTAATATACCTCTAGACGATAAATCCCTTTATCTGTCCGATAGTTCTTTTTTTTCTTTTCTTTTTTTATGAGAAATCCAAACTTGATATTATTAAATAGAGGTCCCCTCTATATAGTCGTAGGAGTAGTGGTATGAAGGTAGTGAAAGGCGAAAAAAGAATTTTGAGAGAAGAAAAAAAAAATAATAATACAGAGTATGAATCTTTCCGATAGTTCACAACGAAGAAGAAAGTCCTCCGCATACATTATCCGCGGGCGAGGTCCGACTAGCAAAGAGAAGGATTGGATTGAACGCCTTAATTTGGCCGCGTTTGTGGCCAGGTGGAGAAAATCGAGATTGAACTTCTTTTCTGCATCGCTGCCTAAAACACGCCCAGATTCAGGATCTTCATCCAATACCCGTTGCTATAGTAGTGGGACCATGCTCCGGTAGAAGGTTCTTTTCATCTGTGAAATCTGAGACGACGTTCTGTCCGAGAGTTCACATTGCCACAACGAAGAAGAAAATAGCCCGCCACCGGGAAAAGGTCCCACTTGCACGGATTAAGAGATTCTGGCCGTTGATCTTTGCTATCTACGGTCAATATCGCTTAATTCGTGTAAGTGGGACCTAGCCGGCTGAGAAAGACTCTTTTCATCTGTGAAATGTGGAAAAAAAAAAAAAAGAGAGGTCTCGCAATTTTTTTGTTTTGTTTTGTTTTGTGTTTTTTTTTTTTTTTTTTTTTTTTTTTTTTGACGGAATGAAAGGATGTCTATTGTTTGTTGCATTGAAAATATTTCACGCTCAGATGGCCCGAAAAGATGTGCACAGCAGAATACCCCTGAACATTTTGAAATTTTCATGAAATGCCCTTTCTACCCCTGTTAGGGAGCTGCACAACTTGCCGTTCTGTCCCTTACAGAGGGGGGGTATAGACAGAGCTCGCCAAACCCCTGACAGAGGTATAACGCAACGATTCAGTAAATCCAAAAGGGCATTTCTCAAACTCTTACAATTGCAGAGGGGCATTTCACAAACTCTACCCACATCATTGAAGATTATCAATTCAAGTCCTGAGACCAGAAGTGCGAGATGTCTACCCGTGGCTAAGAACTTGGGCAGTATGACCGAGCTCACGAATTGAATTCATACCGATACAAGACCAGATTCATTCCCGTAATCCGCACCGCCAGTACGTCATCGCCGACACGACCTCACGACAATTTTAGATGTCCTTGTATACATTGCCCGAACAGCAATTGCAAACTGTATCTTGGCCGATAGTGCAATTATAACTCGGTATTGCGACTCCCGCGTAGTTTCCCCGTTTCTTTTTTGTCTTTACTAACCCTTTTTTTTTTTGGACCACTTCTCAATTTATGCGTCCATGCTAATCTTGATTCTCTGTATCGTTTCAATTTTAACGGACGTCCCGAAGGGCGACTTCCAGTCTACATACAGCGATAAGGGCCGTGTTCTATTCGGGTGAAAATTCTAACAACGTCATCTCTCTTATATTTTCCTCTGAGATTCATCTTGCGCCGCCCACTGACGACGGCGCAAGATCCAGTTTTTAAAGCCACCTACAACCGCCACGTGTCAGCTACAAAATCGAGCGATGGTACGAATGTGATCCGTCTTCCGAGGACAACATCCCCCATCGCCGAGGAAAAACAGCCCTGGAAGAAGAGAAGCTCTCCAAGGTTTTCCAATGCCTTCAGCATTGTACTGATCTCTCTCTCTCTCTCTCTCTCTCTCTCTCTCTCTCTCTCTCTCTCTCTCTCTCTCTCTCACACACACACACACACACACACACACACACAAACACAGATTCTACTTGTGGCAATGCATCTTCGTTATCCAAATATCCGTCTCTGTATACGTCTCTCTCTCTCTCTCTCTCTCTCTCTCTCTCTCTCACACACACACACACACACACACACAGATTCTACTTGTGGCAATGCATCTTCGTTATCAAATATCCGTATCTCTGTATGCGTACACACGCAGGCACATAAACACACACACATGTACATTTGAATGGAAGTTCTCGAACATGAGAAATTACGTTCGCTTCGCTCTATTACCCTTTCCCTGTCCAGACCCAGCAAACCACCCTTCGCTGCCACTCGTTGCAAATGAAGTCAGCCAGGCAGACAGGAAATCAATCATACAGACGGAGAGACAGACTTGATAGAAAACCGAATACATACAACGAGAGACAGTCATACAACGAACCGAAGAGACAGAGCAGAAAAGGAAGAAGATTGACAAAGACACAGAGACAGACTAATACACAATCGAATTCATAGAACGAGAGATAGCCATACAGACAAAGAACAGAGCAAAAGAGGAAACAGATTGCCAATCCACACACAGACACACACAACCTCCCAATGACGAGTCCATGAAATTCCGACGAAACTGACTGACGGTCATAATTTATTTATTTTTCTGGAGTTATGTATTACGCACATAATAACACACACACACACACACACACACACACACACGCACACACAGAGGACCTGATTACCCGGTGAAAGTCCGACGAAACAGTGCGGTACAGGCATTCTTATGCTGCGGACTTGTGTATAATGAATAAGCCATCACGTCAGAATAATATACACAGGCGCCCACGTACATGCAACACACACACATACACACACACACACACAGAGGACCTTCTGATTATCCGGTGAAAGTCCGACGAAACAGTGCGGTACAGCCATTCTTATGCTGCCGGGTAAGCCATCACATAAGAATAACATACACAAAGGCGCCCACGTACATGCACGCCCACACTGAGGGTCAAGACAGAGAAGGACGGACAGAACGATGGTGCCACAGACGCAAACACACACACGCACACACACACACACACACACACACACACACACACACACAGAGCAAATGAGCAGAAGGTAAGACACAATCACACACGCAGACAGAAAAGCAGCAGAAGGACAAGAGGAAGACTGAGAATGTTGACGTCTTCAGAAAACGGACATCGGGATAAGTCGCATCGATAACGCAAATGTGGCTTCTGAAACAGGAAGCGGTAAACTTTCCAAATAGAGACGACGGACATCGACAAGGAGATGAAGAAGAATTTGAAAACGTTTTTTCTTCAGCAACTCGACGACGGAATAAAATCACATTAATAAGAACGGTGTAAATAACGAAACAAAAAGTTATATTACGTAAGTGAAGTAGAAACGACGGACGTCTACAACAAAACACGAGGCCAATCGCCACTTGTCCAGTCAAACAATTAGATCAGACAGTCTAAACTGCACAGACATACTGTAAGTGAGGCTCAACGCACGGCCATCCCCGAGAGGAAGAAGAGTTATTGAGAAGTGAATTCTGCGTAGAAGAAAAGAAGAAGAGAGAAAAGAAGACGGAGAAGAAGAAGAATTGAAATTGAGTTGGAACAGCGACGCCGACCGCTATGCCTCCACTTCAACGACAGAATGCCAGAACACCACCCACATGGGCAAAAATACCTCAACGCGCACTCCCCGACGCGCGTTCCACCTGGTTGCGCACCAGAAATTGCCAACGGGGCTGCCACATTGCCGCATCCACCTCACAAACCACCTGGGAGAGAGATCGACAACGGATTCAAGCGAAGCACACCAACCATCTTTTTACCATCATCCACTCGAGCGGCTATCGTCGTCGACACCATTTCGAAAGGTCTCTTCAAGTAAGTCCCATCCGCAGTAAGGCCAAGGTGCAGAACGTGGTCCTGCTGCCATGAGGTCGCATACCCCACCACGTGGATCTATTATCAAGTATCGTGATCGAAATGTGCTATTTATTTCACCATTCTGACACTACGGAGGAAAGCGTGTTCTGTGTTGTTTATTTTCAGCAAGAATTGACCCACTACCCCACGCTCAAGAGAACGTCGAAAGACGTTCAGGGAAAATCCAATGGGAAGTGGCGGAATTCGCCGCGAATCTCCTTTCCAATTAACGAGCAATCAAGTGAACTCATTTACCATCAATCAACCAATCAATCAACCAATCAATCAACCAATCATCGACCAATCAATGGCCAATTCCTACGGACAAACAAGAATGATGAGCTCGCTCATATCACAGACCTAGTAATCGATATCGCCATCGACCGATAGGCAACTTCAATCGGTCTCTTCGAGACGCTTCTGCGAGCCGACATTACAGTGCTGCAGCGGGGGTAAGAACAGGTAGGAAAAGGGGTAGGTAAAGGGTAGATGACGGGAGGGAGAGAGAGGAGGGGAGGAAGAAGTGGACAAAGGTGTTCAGTCAAGAGAAGAGAAGAGTCTATGAAGCGACTTTCGAACGAGGTCACCGTGTTCAAGCAGATGGAGAGAAGCGGAGGGGAGGTGGTTACTACAGCAAGCGCCTGTTTCCCGCCAGAAGAGCACGGGGGGGGGAGGAAGAGGAAGGGGCAGCCGGAGGCACTGTGGTTGTTGTTGGTGTCTGCCTGGGAGGGGCGATAGATGGGCGAGGGATCGCCGGTACTCCAGGCGCAGGGATCGAGCCGCCGCCCATACATGCCACCACGATTTCCTCCGATAGAGAGTCATCTACAACGAGCCCGGCATCGAGAGTGACCAACGTCACGTTGGTGTCAACAGGCCGCACGCTATTCACGACGGTATCCATCGCTTTGCTCTCAGAGAAGAGAGTGACGGACGCGGGGCCGGTCTGCTGTACGAGGATGGGGGTGCCAAGGACGGTCCAGAGCCGCCCGTCGACTGCAAACTTGGCAAGATCCACTGCGTTGACGACAGGAGTGTGGAGAGTGGTAATCTGCAGGTAGTTCAGAAGCTTGACAATGAGTCCTTTCTGAGAGGCGCTCTGCTGAAGACACGTCAGCACTTTCGGCTCAAAGTCCGCCCTAAAGCTGTTGTCCGTCGGCGCGAAAACGACGTACGAGGAACCGTTGAGCACGGTTCTACCCTCCACGGAGGCCAATTCCTCAGATTGCAACAAGGCCTGATAGAAGATGGAGAATTGCCCCTCACCCTTCAAAATGTTGACGAGATTGCTCCCCTCCACACGACACGTGGCACTCAGAAGAGCAAGCACAGCAAGCAGACGAAGAGCCGAACCTCCATAGCCGGCGAAAGAAGCAGAAGAGGAAGCCATCTCTCTCTATTCGCTCGTTCGATATCCAATCAATCAATCAATCACACTACTCACGTCGTCTACCCCCAATCTACTGCTCATCAATGACGGCCTCCGCACGAGGCCTAGCTCGATGGTGGAATGGTTAACGAAGTCGGCGGCGGCGGAGGCGGCGGCGGAGGCGAAAATGGGAAAGCAGCGCGGTAAGTTGACGACGAAGCTATCGACACTCAGCGTGAATCCGCAGAGAGGCCGGAGATAGATGCTCGCAGACCCCGCCCTCCACACGACTGATGACGGGCTGGGTGGCTTTTTAAGCTGCGTGCTTGGCACGGCAACGAAAAATTGAAGACACAAGGCGCGCTGCATGCACC